TTTCTTAGTAAAAACTGGTTTATTATTTCCGAATATAACTCTGCGATACACTTAATCTCAATACTCGCGCTAAAACAACACTGTAACGAACGAACGTTAACTTCAACAATACCCTGTGACTGCAGTTCAATTACTCACTGTCTACCCAGACATTACATTCCCCTCTTTTATATACCAGCCTACCTTATATCTAGTAAGAACTAGAACATTCGCCAAAGTACATGATAGTTCTAGAAACGTTGCGTCACAGTAGTCATGTGACTCGATGACGCAACAATATGTATGTGACAGCCGAAAACAGCCTGGTTTTAATCTTCTATAACTAGAAAATATCGTATCTTTATTCAGGTATATTCAGGAATATTTCTCAAGGGATTTCATGTAGGTGCTCTGCACTTAAGTAATATTTCTATAAACAGAATGTAAGTAGTAGTGAATTTGTTTTAACTAACGCTTAAAGATAAAGTACATTATTACAATGCTCACATAAAAAAAAGCTCGTACTCTTTTGATAAAACTTCTGTACCGTATCTTCACTAGGTGTGGATCATAGTCAAATAAATTAGAGACGCAATAGTTTGTAAATGTTTGTTTGAACGGGGAGTAATTCTTCCCTAAAATATGTGTAATGAAAATGGTCGTTAGAATAGGTAATCTAAGACTGTCAGGTACCGCACTTGGACTGTGTCCTGGCTTGAGATTGTTGTATCGACACAGCCTTCTTTGTCAGTTGTCGAATTAAAACACAGCCTCTTTTGTTTTTGTTGAGTGAAGATTCTCTTTTCTCCAGTAACCATATAAGTCAAGTCAAAGTCAAAGAAGCCAACCAGCCTATAAGTAAGACCCCAATACATTGTGTGCATTCAATAAGGTTTTACATTTCTTAGTTTAAAAATGATGTTTAAATATTTCTTTTGTTATCTATGTTAATTTTGTTTTCTTACAACCAAATGTTTTCAAACCTCTAATATTGCAGGTTTAATACTTATCTGTTAACCTCAGTTTTGACAGGGAATACTACACATGTGTTTTTCATTAGTTTTCACAAGCATTCCTTATGCTTACAGATTTGTAACTGCACCTTCGGTATTTTTCGGTGAAACTGAACTGAAAGAGAAGACCACAATAATAGAAGGGTCTTAAAAAATACGCTCAAAGAAAAACGAGTGAAGAGACATGCACAGTTGCTTCGTTATGAAACAAACAAAAACAGCTGCTTGTGATGTCTACAGTAATAATAAATTGGTGTCTGATTTTTTTGGTTTACGACAGCATTAATTAATTGAGAAGACAACAGAACTCAATGATCACAAGAAGAATTCTGCCTTAGCATTTGAAAGGGTCAATTTGAGATGAATTTTAATAAATAAATAACTTTCTTGGAACTATATTCAAGCTGAAAGTCCGTAGGACTTTCCAGAATGCTATGTCACCCTTGCCTGGAGTCTAGACTTATTATAAAAAAAAGGGAGGGAAAAGTGGACATAAATTTCTCGTGCTTCCATCTCTGCATATATCCAGCAAGATTAAATGGAGTTCAGAATTGTATAAGTAATAAGCTAAACAGGTTACAAAATATTGCCTGAATATATCAGAATAAAGACACATTAATTTGCTAAAGTATTAAATGTTTACATTCATAACATTTGCATACTGAACATTTAGTTTAATCGTACGAAATTAGTTTAATGAAGGAAATCTCCTCCCTTTTGGAATCACATTTTAAAAATCCCTCTTAAAAACATGTAATAATTGAACATTTTTGGATGTTTGGCCTTTTTCATGTTTATTATTACTGTTCTTTATCATATGAATGAATAATAGCATATTGAAATTTCTTGAAAGTTGTTAAGTGCTAAACATATATTGTGCTTTATAGTATATGTGTTTTAAAAACGGCCCCTTAAAGATGTTCCCCTACATAAATGTATAATAGCGGCTAACTGTTAAACTATTTTTAATTTGGTGAGGTAGGAAATACTAAGTCTGTTAAGGATGTGTATGTAACTAAGATAGTAACTACGACGTACTCATATTCACAGGAAAAAGTACTTTAATTTGTGTAAGTCATGTGCTTCGGTTACTTTTATTGAAGTTATTTTTAATAGAACTAAAATTATAAGAACCATAAGTTATAATAACACATAATATACTGTTATTGATTTGATCAAATTGATGTATTTACGACGTGTATTGCTTTATAAATTATAGTTTGTTTTAATGTTTATTATATATTTCAATGAATTTTAAATTTCAATTAAATTTAGAAATAAAAGAGACATTTCGCTGTAGTTTAAATTGGTTAGTCGTAATGCTTAATGAATTGAATGAAGGTTTTGACTTTGTTATTTTATTGTTACTAAGTAAGTAACGGTAAATTAGTTTATATATTACTAATAGCAATATTATTAGTAGTATTACGCTTCATTTCAGTTCAGGCTTCACTAAAGCTTTTAGTTTTAGTAAAAGTAAAACTTACCACTAAAGCAAAATACTACATCCACATGCAGTACATTAAAAAGTTTTGCTGTATTTTTGGCCTTTAAATTAATTTATAAATTACAATTTGCAGTGTAACTAGTATTATTACCAATACTAATAGTAATACAACTATTGATATCAAGCTGAATTTAGTTCTGTATGTTGCACCTGTAATTTGTAAACATAATTATGTTAGTAAATATTACTTGATTAATAGAAAAACTCGTGCTCAATGTCTTACATGTACTAGTGATTTAGCTGTACATTATCATTCATTGTATCCAGAGTGGAGTGTATCTGTTGCAGTTATGTGGGCTATCAGCTTTTGTTCTGTTGTCATTTGCAGTTACATTGACATCCCAGTGACAATTTGTTTTGTTTTTAAAAAGTGGTGGAAGGAAAGACATGTTTTTTTAAAGGGTAATTATTTTAAATTTTTACATCATAAGATGAGAAAAGACACTAGAAGTAGAAGCTTTCAGGAAAAATGTACCTAAATGAGTTGAAGCTACAAGATGTTAAAATATTACTCAATAATTATACTGTTCTTTTGGTGAGAAGAAATTCTGAAGGCAGTATTGATTAAAGTAAGTAAACATGAATAAAAAATTTTTCCAAATTTTACAGTCATAGGAATATAAATATAGAATATTCTTGAGAACATAGAATTTATAAACTTGGCTCTGGATACACTGTAAAAACTGAAGCATGAAGACCTACAGATTATAAACAGGTGTTCAACACTTGTGTCTATTAAGAAAACAATCCATCATTTTTTTTTTCCAAATATAAAATAACACAAAACTATAATTGTATAATACATCTAATGAAACAAGTTTTTACATGCTCTTATTAAAACCTATTTAGCTCAAAATTGGTAAAAAAGACAGTTTTTTATTTGAAAATAATGCTGCCATTAGGCTGAGACAAGGGTTGGCAATTCAAATAACAAGAGCAATTTTTTCAAATTCAGTAAAAATGCCAGATACTGAGATGTGTAATGCATGTAACCCATGTTTCAATAATTGGACATTAAGAGGGCTAAATAGATGCAGGTTGCCAATCTTTGGGCAAGTGACATGCAGTTTGCAATGTTGAACAAAATGGCTTAGCATTTTAAACTGAATTTATAGAAGAAATCTTCATAAGAAAAAAAACACCTAAATAAGATGAAATATTCAGTTTCATATGTTTACAATTTTTGTGTTATGTTTAAATTTTAAAGAAATGGGAGTAATTGTTTTTCTTTCTTCACAAACAAACTGTGGAACCTTTGTTTATATTTTCATGTTTCATGCTGTGGCTTTAAAACCCAATTTTAATGGAGATTATTGATATAATTGTAAGAGAAACTGTAATTTTTAAGCACAAAGTGCTTCCACCAGATACTATTGACAGTGATTCTAGTTACTGTAAAATCATTTTAAGATAGAATTCTCTAACATTTTAGTGTGTTTTTTCTCAATTTATTCTTAACATGAGATACAATTCAGACAGAAGCACAAATATAAAGTACACCTATAGTTTTTATGAATACCAGATAAATCTCTAAAGGAAGCATATTCAAACTTTTTAACTCAAAAATATCACAACAAAGTAATACTGAAAGTATTTAACTAATATATATACTGAATTTTTAAACATTTTACTTACTTTTAGGAAAAATAATATTTAACCAATTGTGCATCCTTACTAATCTTACAGCCAAACTTTGACTTGTTACTATTAACATTTAAATCTCATCTTTAACCTCATTGTCTAATAAATGATTGTAGGATGAGATATGATATAAAGAAGTACCAGTAAGCTCTGTATTTATTCAGTAAAAGAAAGGCATGAGAATACAGCAAAGATCTATTGTGTTACATTCCTGACATGTTTCAAATGTTATTACTTTTTTTTTCTAATGTAAAGAATTAGTTAATGTTCAACTTTTAATTTTTCTGTGTAAGAAAAAATGTTTATTATGGACAGTGTGAGAAATATGCTATGTAATTATTTTGTTTTAAAAATATCCCATTAAGTCTGTTTTTCTTAAAATGAAGTATACTGTTGTACATCTAGGCTTAAATTGAGTATGTATATTGTTTCTGCAGTAAAAAGCAACTTGCCTGTGTAGGTTGTACCATTTCTTATGAGAATTGATTATTTTGTTGAATTTAAAAGTCTAATGGCTGATTGGCATTTAGTTAATATGATAATTCTTATATTTTTGTGAACTACACACATCTATATTTAATGCTTATCAAATTTTAATAAATCGTACTGATTAAAGAAATAATTTTGAACTTTTGTAATGTATGAATCCTGTAACACAATTTTTATAGTTCTTTTTTTCTCACAGAAAAATTGCTACCCCTTGACAGTCTTCATTCTTATTTAATAGTCAGAACATCAAGAAGGAAAACACACCTTTTTTCTACATCATTTTATTCCATTACCTTTCTCCAAGCCTCTTTTATCATCACGTACTGGATTCTAAAGAAGAGTCTGAAGTCCGTGATATGCCAACACGTGATTGGCGACCTTTTGTTTATGGAGGTTTTTCCTCAGTAGTGGCAGAATTTAGTAAGTGATGTGTAACATAAATTGATGTGTTTATTCACACATACAACTTAGTTCCTTTGCAGTAATTAAAAAAATTTACATACTTGTAATATTCATATTTCCAAAAAAATACAATTAGGTATTTTACCAGAGAATTATCAGATGCATCTCTAGTTATATACATGTGTAAATAACTAAATACCAGATTGGTTCTCTTACCTTGGGAAGTGTATCAATATATTGAAACATTATAGATGATCTACTAGATTAATATTTGGTATAAATGATTTTAGCTGGAGAAGAGTCTTAAACTTTGGAGTTGTTTCATTTAGAGGATAAAGATAACTTCATTCCAGTATTAAAATTTGTAATGAGCTTGTACTTTCTTGATACAGATGGTCTGCTTGAGTGGTAGAGTGAAAAAGTCTGAAACTCGACCTTCAGTATTAACTATATTAAGCTCTGGATGTTTAGATGCAGCCTTCTTTTTTTAAAAATAATAATATTGGCTAAAGTTATAAAATTATGGAATGATGTGACTGATGTTTTGGTGTGTATTTTTTCTTTGGATTTTTTTAAACTTCTGTTTGATAGTTTTTGTTTAATTTTGCAGCTTATTTTAGTATGTACAAGTTGATTTTCCTGAGCCAAATGTCTTTCTGTCACATTGCTTTTTTTAATATTTTTAAATATCATCAATCATAAAAAATTTTGATCTTTTTGGGTAGTGGTAAAGTAATTTGTTTATTACTAGCAATTTCATTAGCATAAATCTGGACAGGCATTTTTATTTATTTTGTGTAATATCAGATTTTTTTTTGTTGTTGTTGATATGCACTTTGCAAATATATGATTGCTCTACATATTGAGAAGCTAGTGGTTCTTACTTTTTAGTTTCATTAATATTATTGATTAAAATTTTTTGAATACTGACTACCCTAAATAAAGGTGACTTGGTTATAAAACAACTCCTTAAATTACAAGAGTGGAAATAAAATAATAAGAAAAAGTGATGAAACTTTTTTATTCAATTTCAAATTATGCCTCTAAATACTAAAAACATTGTGAAGTTTGTTTTAGGTAACACAACAGTCCATATACTGTTTTCATAGATTGTCTTCAGGTTGTTTATTTACAACCACATCTTAAAACTATTTGCAACTGCAAAGTCCTGGGGATATTACCAAGTCAGCTTTTATTTTAACAAGTTATTTCTTAACATCAGTTGTCAAAAAGACTATGAGAAGTGTCTAGCACAAGCATTCCAATTCTCTCATAATCTTTAATACTTGTGCTGCAATTTTCACACTTTCTACAGGTTTAACTAACACAGTCGTTAAAAACATTAAATTTACTGAGCATTTTTGCAGCTGAGAGCAACAGTATACTTGCAGATCCTAGTTTGAGAAATGACCTCATAATAGCCCATTGCTCGTGTTCAGAGCCTAAGCTGAGAATATAAAGCAAACTGAAATTTTATGATCTTGATTTCAGAAAATAATATGATTTTATATTTGAGGGTTAATATTGTGAATATTATTTTGCATTGTTAACTTAGTATATGGAATTAGAACTAACCTAAATTTCCAAGGTTGGTTGAACCTCATAAGGTGTATCACTGGAGCTGTGGCCGAAAATACTGTTAATGGCAAGGGTATTTAAGTACTCAACTAATTAAGTGCTTCAGAATCTTTAATCTTTATGAGATTGATTTTTCTGTTTATTAATTTATGACATTAAGTGCTTTTCAGTTAATGTGACATGCAGAATTAGCTTTGTTAATTTACAAGCTACTCTTAGTTCTGATCTATAAAGTTAGCTTAATTTTTATTGTATGTAATATTTATGTAGAAAGTGGCTTTATCAGTCAGCTCTTGTTAGTGGTAAATGTAGTTTATGGAGGTATTGGAATATTATTTTAGAACAGATGTATTGTTGCCTTAATATTTTTCATTATATATACAGGTAGAATCTCTTGTAATTAGCATTTACTGTTTGCTTAGGAGATTGATGTTTCTGCATGTTGATTGGTCTTGTATCAGGTAGGCATTTAGTTTTAATTCCTCCTCTTTCCCTTCTAGTGAACTGGAAAAATCTTCCTCCTTCAGTGGTTTGTGGTTAGGTAATTTGAAACACACTATTGTTGTATTTTCACTCAATCTGTTGTTTTGTGAAAATAACTTTTAATTGTTTTTATTTTGTTTATGAAAATACTGTTATACTGTTGTTTGTGTGAAAGTACTCTGGCAAAAATGACCACAACTGGAAAACTTTTAAATGTTTCAGTTCATTAATAATTGTTATAGTTTTAAGAAACTAGTTATTAATTTTCAGGTACTTTTCCAATTGATACAACTAAGACAAGACTTCAAGTGCAGGGACAAACCCATGATGTCCAATTCAAACAGCTGAAATACAGGGGCATGGTTCATGCCCTTATAAGAATCTCTAAAGAAGAAGGTGTGAAAGCCCTTTATTCAGGGTGAGCTTATATTTGTATATGCGTGAAAAGTAATGCACAGTGTAAATTGTGTTAATATAGCCACTATATTAGATTTTTTATTTTATGATAGTGTTAGTCTTTAACTATCTCCACATGGGCTCGGTGAAATTGACCGACCTCGTAACCACTTTGTACATGTTTTAGTTTCCACACTTTTAATAAAGCATTTGTATGTTCACAAAATTTGGCAAGCTTTTAGTAAACATTACAAGCCTTTTATACACAAAAAATCAGATTTTTTAATGAAGGATTTTTACTGAAGAGTTGTCTGCGAATATATTGAATCTATTTTTTTTACTAGTCCGAGTGCAAAGGTATTTTCATGTTAAGATTAAAATATATTTTTCTTTGTCTCAAAATTCTCATATTTCATTTGTGTAGCCTCTAGAACCTCCTAAATGCATATAAAACTTTATATTTTATTGTCATTACCTTTACCTCAATGATATACTTGATTCTTCAGCCTGTAGACAAATCATCAAAGTATAAGGAAAAGTTGTAAAATCAGAAGTTGAATGAGTAGCTGTACTCTTTTTTCTTTATTATTGGTTAGGAAGTTTCAAAGTACTCCTCTTGAGAGTTTGAACTGCTAACCATTTCACACTTATTTTACTGTCAACAACTAAAATAGAAACCCTCTGAAAATAAAGTAGTAAATCACTTGTAGCAGTAGACTGTTTATGTGACACCATATTACGATACCCTCAAAAGCAACAAAGCATGTGCAAAGAGATAGCCGACTTGACCCCATCTCCGAGAACAGGATGTCTAATGTATTGATTATATATCCTACAATGTTTTCATGGAAAATTCAAAGTAATCACACTGTACTTAGAATCAGTGAAAACATTTATTCTGACAACAGGATGTGAAATTTATCAACTTGTGTTTGTATCCTAAGTTTTTACAACAAGAATTCTCCAGAGTAATAAGACTGTACTTTGGATCTGTCAAAACGTTTATTATATTGTTTGGTGCTGATACAATAAACATTGCAATACTTTGAATATTGGTAATCCTTTTCGAGTGTTTGGAATTTAGTGGCATAGATGTACAAATATGTTATTTGAGCACATGCTTATAAAATCCTATTCCCCCTTTTCAGCACACTTATTTGTTAACCAATAAAAACTCAGGTTCCAGTACGACCTATTGCACTCATTTAGTTTCGGTTTTAGTTTTACAAACTTTCTAAGTCTAGTCTTCTCTATAAAGCAGAACATTATTTCCCCGACCTTTCTAAATGTTATGAATAAACCTGTTTTTAAGTTGTTAAGTTCTAATGTTGTATAATTTGCTTTTATTTTACCTCAGTTTAGACAATTAGAATAATACACATTCAGTAGGCTTTACACACTATTGGTCTGCAAAATACACATCCCTAACTATAATACAAGTATTTTGCAAAATACAGTGATATTTCGTCTACTGTGCATTACACTGAGTGTTGCACCCCTATTGATGGATGGTTGCTTTATGGTCGCAGAAAGAATTAGGGGTTACAAGGCTTGTGGTGAGTGAAAAATTTGCATCACTAGAGAGTAGTACTAATCGAGAAAGTGAGGGGAGGTAAGTATTCATTCAGAAGTACATTTTCAGTTGAGGAAAATGTTAACATTCTTGCACAGTAACATTCAATTTGGTCTTAACTATAATAAATATGAGTTGTTTTAACTCTGCAGTAATCTAAAGGAAGATATCAGAACTATAAATGAAACACTTTCAAATGCTTCCAACCACATTCAAATCCCTAATTATAATATTCTCTCTTTACCTAAAGCCATAGGCAATAGAAATGTCATGATAATATACAAAAAGGTTATAAAAATAACCTTCCCTAACAATTGCATAAACTAATGTTAATGAGTTTATTCGCTGTACTATTCATCATCCTAATTCCGCAGTTATTTCTCTCCTTATCATGTATGTTTCACCTTCTCACACCAGACATCACCTAACCTCACTTGGTAATTGACCAAAATCCCCAAACTATCACCTTGAGACCTTAACTCCAAACACCCAAATTTCATGTACTTTGCTGCTCACCACAACAGTACTATTTTACACCTGTTAATTACAAATACCAACTTTTTTTCTTAAGAACAATACTCCTACTCATACCTACCTAAACAGCTCAGAAGGTATTCTGAACCTCACTATAATTTCTTTTTTAAATCATGCATCAAACTATCAAGCCCATGGTAATGTAGTTATGAATTACTACCCCATCTTATTTCATCTTTTTACTAACACCATTCAAAACATTATCTCTTCTCCTCCTTTCCACAGTTTGTGATTTTACTATAGTTAACTGGGAAACCTGTGACACTAACATTGGTAGATTGCTCACAAATATCTACTTCTGCTTCCTCTCTTAAAGACCTAGAGAACTATGCTTTTTCAATCTCTATTTTGAAAGCTGTTACTATGCCTATATGCACCTTCTTTAAAAACTGTAACCTAAAATTCTGGATGTAACCATAATCTCATTCTTGAAAAAATATTCTTTATCAGTTATTTATAGTCACAACTACTCAATTAAACATCTTATTAATAATAACAACATACAAAAACTAATCAGAGAACAGCAAAAACCAAATTTGACAAATTTACAATGCCTCAATAAATAATTCAAAACAAAACCTTCCTTTTTTTCAGAAATTTAAGTTTATTTGCAATTATTCTCTGACAAAAAGCTGATGATCAAAATATAGTGTTTTTGCTAGGTATTACAAATATGTCCTTACCACCCATAATCTCAACAGCCTTGATAATTTCAACAGAATTAACATACACATAATGTATAATCACTCCACATATAATTTGTCATTTTCCACAACCTATACATATTCTAATATGTCCCCCCTTTTCCGATGCTACTAACTGTTCCATCTCTAAACCCAAAAGAAGGATACACATCAAACACCTAAAAAATCCAGCCCCTGGTGAAGGAAGCATTCAAAAACTCGTACTCTAAAATGCATCTAAAGGTCTTGCCTCATATTTCGGTGGTTTAATAAGCCTTATCTCTCCAGTCTGGTTATTACCCCTCTACATGGAAAGCAGTGATAATCTTTATATTACTTTAGTTCCTGTAAAATTTTCTAATGGAGAAAGTGACTTTTTGTTGTTTTTTCCTCAGTAATTGTATTGTCAGTGATGTAAACATTTTGTATTTTCTGCACTTAGTATTTTCTTTTTACAGAATTGCACCAGCCCTCTTGCGCCAAGCAACATATGGTACAATCAAGATTGGTATTTACTATTCCTTGAAAAATGCTCTCATCAGGGATGCTCATGGTAGGAGAAGAAGTTACTTTTCTGTTTACTACATCAGTAATCTTATTACAGAAGTATGCTGGTATGTTTTTGCTTAGGTTTTGATTTATAGATATCATATATAATGATGAAATTAGAATGTTATTTTAATATTAAAAACAAGTTTATATCTATTAGTGTAATAAATTAGTGTAATCATAAAGTTTACTCAGTATATGCATTTCAGAATGGTGTTTTCAAAGTAGCAATATTTCAAAATATAAAAATTCAAGTCAAATTTTCTGTGAAACAGTGCAGCATCACTTTTAATTTAGGTTTTGTATGTATTTTTACTGTTTAATATTATATCTTACAGTTTCACTAGTAAGACGTAATACTGTATTTAAATTGAATATAAAGAAAGATATGTATCTGATATTTTGATCAGGAATTTATCCCCAGATTTGAAATATCTTAGTGTAAAGCATTTTCATTGTGTAGTTACAGTATTTTAACTTTTGTTTCATGTATTTAAAAAAAAATTATGTCTACTGTTGAATCAGGTATTTCATGGAAAATTCATGGTGAAATCCATTTTTACATTGTTGTAATTCATTTTAATTTTTAATGTAAAATAATTCAATATGCATTAAAGATAATTAGTAACTTATTCTTAAATGTAATCTTCTAGTTTGATAGTACTGAAACATTAAATGTTTTACATGTACATACTAATATGTAAGGAACATATAAAACTGTTTGTTATAGATGAGCAAAATAAATCAATAACTTGTTCCATGGGCAATATTTTTAAGATGTATATCTTTCTGTAGATTTGATTTAACTTGGAACTCTTATTATTTAAGGCTATGAATGATATGTTTTGACATTGTTATTTGTTTTGTTAAAATGTGAAATAATACCTATATCAGAATTACAATATTTTTCTTTATAGATAATTAATAGCTATCAGATTTTTAGTATATTCTATTTTTTTAAAGACTTGCCTATTTTGCATAGTTACTCAAAAGCATTGTGGTCATTTTTATTGTTATGCTTACTTGGCATGTGTATTTGAACATGCTTGATTTTAAAATCAAGTAGTAGTTGCCTTTTAAACAAACAAACAAAAAATTATTAATCAAACCAAAAATTATTAATCTATTTAAAGTTCAACTAATTGTTGTTGAAACCAGTAAATTTTGTAATGCTAACCTTAGTTGGTCAGTTGGAACAGAATAAGGTTCAATCTTTTTTTTTCTTTTTAGACATCTAGTAACTCTTAGCCACATTGACTGTATGTTTCTGAACAAGTAAATATATAGTTCATTATAAAGCTTTTAATTCTATATTGTTTGCCTAAAGGCAGAAACAAATACAAAATTCATTATATGTTATATGTAAACATTATACAAAATTCCTCCTCAAACAATATAACCAAATTCTCCTTAGATGAGATATGTGGAAGCAATCTAATGGATTAATTAAGTAAAAACAGTTAAAATTTCAAGTTGACTTGGATATTATCAGGTTTGATGCTGGCTGGGTCAAGTTTGAAAGAATTGTATTCTTTTATGATGAAACTTTGTAGAATGGACGGCAACTGCCTGTTGTAGAGACACAAGTGTAGAGGTCCACGTTTTGAAAGTCTTCCGTCTATCGTCTTCATGTCAGGTACCTACACTTCCAGTCCTATCATCCAACCTCGATAAAATGTGGCATAATACAATGCCTAAGCGAGAGAGCAGAAAACATTTGCGATAAGACATCCATCGAAACAGAATGCCAAAAGATCGTACAGGGTTTTAAACAGAATGGTTATGCCTCCTGAAGAACTCCCTGAAGAAGATCCACAACAGAAAAAAAAAGATCAGAAAAACACTACTACTACTACCATTTACCTCCCCTACCTGCTAAGTTTCAGTGAGAAACTCAAATGTATAGCCAAGAAATTCAACATAGAAGTCCAGTGGAAATTCTACAATGCATTAAGGTCCATTCTGGTAAAAAACAAACAGCAACCTACCCATGAGAAACACAAAAACGTATTTATGAAATTTTGTGTTCCTGCAACGAAACATACATTGGGGAAGAAGGAAGAAGACTCGCAACAGGAATAAAAGAACATAAAGACTGTACAAGACTCATGAAAGCACAAAATTCAGCCATTACAGAACACGCCATGTCAACTGGACACAAAATAAACTGGGAAAAAACTAGAATCATCAACACAAAGAAATTTTGGAAGACAAGGAAAATTAAAAAATCATTTTATATTAACACAATTAAACTTTCACTAAACAGAGATTCCGGATTAGAGGTGAGTAACCTGTGGCTACCATTTGTTGAATCTACAGGAAATCTCTCCTCCAATCAGAAACAGGGATAAACCAACCAATCATAACACGCTCTCCACAATCCACCAGAATACTATAAAGATCGACAACACCTTATACACACTGACCTGAAGACAAAAGATGGAAGACTTTCGAAATGTCATCTTTTAAACTTGTGTTTTTACAACAGGCAGTTGCCGTCCATTCTACAAAGTTTCATCATGAATACTCTGCCTAAACAATCTATCAAAGAATGTATTCTTTTAGTTTATGTATGTTATTTTCTTCACATTCCCTATCGTACTATTTTTATTGAGATAATTTACTGTTATTTCTTTTCCCTGCATTTATTGGTTAGACTGCTTCTAACTTTTGCTGTTATTTTCACTAGAAAAATTCAAGTTCATGAACAATTTATATTGGACAGTTCATGTTAAAAAAATGGATCTAATTGGTGTCACATTGGCTTTAAAGCAAACAGTAATGTTTTCAAATGGAAAGAAATTGCCAAGAATTGAATTTTGATGAATAACAAATGTATATTTCCTGGTCTTAATCATAAACAATTTACTTTGAAAGGTGAGATTTGTGTATTTGACTCATTCGGTAATGAACAGTGCTATTTTCTCTTTCTTATCCACTTAAAATGACTGAAACAATTTTTATGCAGTTGATGTCTGACTCATCAGCTCTTTCTATTTTTTTTAGACATATCCTATTGTGAGATATGTACATGAGAACTAAAATGCATTTTTATTTGTCCCTGGAACAAGTTGGTAAAAAGGTTTCATTAATATAATTAATTTCATAGTCATTGCTACTTCTGAAAATACCTTTCTGAAACTAAGTTTTAATTTTGCTGGATTCAGAAATATTACATTTATTACTCTCTGTTGAGGATACATGTACACAAAAACTTTGGTAATATAATCAAATATTTAGTCTTAAGAAATTTTAAATTTAATATATACAGTAGATGACTTAAAATAACTTGTTTTGCATGGCAGTGTTTTTCAACAGTTAAATTTTCATTCAGTAGTTTGGCTTTTGTAAAACATCAAAGTATTGTCTTTTTTTATTTAAATTTTTAACACAATTTGATTTTAAGGTTTAGTTTACACAGCTTGTAAGTGCTGTTCATTTAAAACTTTTATAACATTTAAATACTCTGGGATGTCTTTTTTTGCTTTGGAACTGTGTTTGATGTAAATTACTTTATGGTTTAAGTAATTGTATAGTCAAAAAGCAGCTTGTTTTCCACCCCTGTCTTGGACTAAAAGATGAGGATAGCTGATACATAAACAAATTTGACAATGTTTACTCAGTTGCGATATATTTGAAGTGGAAAAACTTTAGACATATCAAGTGTAATTTTTAATTCACAAGTATCTATAACACACAGGACTCATCTATTAAAACATGATTATACATTTTTATTAGAAAAACAGAGGAGAAAGTTTATTCTCTGCTCTTCTTGACAACATTAATAAAGAGGAGATTTGTGTAATATAATATCTGAATAAAAACTGAAGACTTCAAAACTTTAAAGAACACTTCCTGCTGTAAATACAGTACCTATCAGAACTAATGTCACAGGATTTGCATGATAGGTTCATTTCTGTACTCCTGAATTCAGTGTTTTACACACCCTTTTTTTTAGCCAAAAATTTCATGCCAATTTTTATATGGTCTTGAAAATGCATTGTTACAGTCACAGTCATGTCTAAAATGTTGTTGAATTATAAAAGGTTTGAATATTTGTGTACATAGCATGTATACTAGAGATTTTTCACCTTCATACATTTCTTTATATTCAAAGAGTTTATTATTATTTTGAATTAAGATTTGGTGGCTAATGCAATGAATAGGTGTAAACATGCACTTTTTTTAAGGTCACAGGACTGGTCACAGATGCAATATACAGAAAGTTGAGTACGTTATAAGTCATTACAGGCAATGCTCTGTATAATGACTGTACATTATGACAGTAACCCTGCAGTATAGTTTTCTTTGTAAAAGGCTTTGAAATAAGGCTCTCATGTCCTAAGAACACAACTCTGACCTGCGGGCATTCCACAGCTCATCTTGTATACGAAGGACAACAGTTTTCCACTGCTTGCTTTAACAGTCCAGTCACAGAAATCCATTGGGACTGCATTTGGTAACTTGCCTGGTATGTCTTCATGGGGAATACAATGAATATCCATTTAATTCTCCAGCTACTTGAAGTATTCAGTGGTTCAACAGGAGGTGTGACTAAAAATCTTTTCTTGGTGAACTCGTACTCTGTTGGCCTTGTGTCTAGACAGAGATTCTCCTTGATTATGTTGCATACTGTTTTATGAGACACATGAATAACTTTTCCCCCTGACCACTGTGCTTGTGGATTCTCACTGTTGTAAGAACTGTGTTGTTTACCATGATTGGTGTTCAACTTGATGCAGATCTCTTTCTGGATGGACCTGGTGTCCCAAGTTCATCCACATTCCTTTGTTTTCCAGTGCTGTAAAGTATAAGGGATGTCCCTATTTTGGAGATTCAGTATCCCTGATTTAAACACATCTGTATGATCTGTGTGCATGGATATTTTACATTGGAAAGGGCTGTTATATACTTACCAAAAGCAATAAAATGTTAATCTGTGGTTCTGATACATGCCATTTTACCACAAGTTTTACATTTTATGTTAGGGACTTGGTTGTAATT